TTATTTTATTAATAAATATTTTTTATTTTTATACTAAAATAAAGATGATAATCTATATTTTAATATATATTCTTCTAGAATATTCTAGAATATTCTGTTTATTTATAAACATGGAAAAAAAATTTTTTATAATTAAAAAATTGCAATTTTAATTATAAAAAATTCTAGAAAATTCTAAAAAATTCTAGAAGAATATATATTAAAAATATAAATTATTATTTTTATTTAATATAAAAATAAAAAATATTTATTAATAAAATAACAAATTTTAATATAAAGCAATAATGTCAATTTTACTATATTTTACTATATTTTTTTCAATTTTTAGTAATATAGTATAGGATATGTATATATATAATTTTATAAATTTTAAATAAATTTTCATGAAGTTATATCTAAAAAACTGAATTTTAAATATATATAATAACATTTGTATATTATTATAAATATATTTTAAATTTTATAAAAATTAAATCAATAATAACAATAAAATTAAGTCTCAAAATTTAATAATTAAATTATTTACTATATATATTATATCAATTTTAATCAAATTTTATATAGTAAACTAAAAATTTTTATAAAATATATATAATTAAAATATATTAAAATAAATTTTAATATCTAATAACTTAATTAAACAAAACAAAATTAAAATTTTATTTTAAAAAAATAATTTATTAATATTTATTTGAAATATAAATATTTTTGTATTAGATTATATCAAAATAAAAATTATAATTTATATTTTAACATATTTTTTAAATTTAATTTAATGAAGTTATTTTAATTATAAAGTTATTATAAAATTTTTATAATTATAATCTAAAATTAATTATAAAAAATTTTTGCAATAATTTTGTAATTAGAATAACTTTGTTAAATTAAATTTAAAAAATTTTAGAAAAATATATATATATATAAGATAGAAATTTTAAGTTTTATTATATTTTATTTATAATTTAATTAATTATTATATATTTTTTTAGAATTTTTAGATTTAATTTAATAAAGTTATTTTAATTGCAAAAATTATTGCAAAACTTTCTTATAATTAAAATATAAATTTAATAAAAAATTTTAACAATAATTTTGTAATTAGAATAATTTTATCAGATTAAATTTAAAAGCCAAAAAAATATATATTAAAATATAACTTATAATCTTTATTTTAATATAAAAATAAAAAAATATTTATTAATAAGATTAAAAACTTTATATAAAATAAAAATTTCAATTTTTACTGTATTTTATTAATTAAATTACATGTACAATTTTATTAAATAAACAAATTTAAATAATTTATTAATATTAAGATTTTAATATAATAAATCTTTTTACAATCACTTTTATTATAATTATATTATATAAAAATTCTGTTTTAATTACACTTTTCAAGAATTAGTTATAATAAAATTATTTTCTATAATTAAATCTATAATAAAATTTTATTATAATTATATTTATAAAAAATTATTATTGAATTCAATTATATGCTTTTTGAATAAAATCAATATAGTTAATTTCTTTATAATTATCTTTATTATTATTATTATTTTTTGTATTGTTGAAAAAATAATATGAATTTCTAAAAAAATGTTAGTTAATATAAATCATTTAATATTTAAACAATAATAATTCTAAAAAATAAATATAATATCAAATTGAATTATTCATATAAAATTTATTTGTCTGAATTATATTTTTTTTAATAATAGTAAAATTAGATATTATTGAAAAAAATTTGATAATTAAATGCTAAAATTACTTTTGCAAAAATCTGTTCAAGAAAGAAACGTTGTTACTAACAAGAAATGATGACTTTGTTTTTAAAATTTGAATTTTGTTATTGTCATATTCCACATATTTATTATTACATTTTTCAAGTCACATGTATTTTCAGTATGTGAAACCAGAATTCCTGAAGATTACGCAACCTTGACTGTATGACAATGATCATGATGACATGATGAAATCATTTTAACTTGAATTGTTCAGTTGATCTGTAAATAGAGAAAGTATAAAATAGCGTATTTGCTGTTTTCTGATTAATATTTTAGTAGTTAAAGAGACCTCATGTCGCAAACCATTGATAAAGCCGAAGTCGAACGTATTTCTAAAGAGTATCGTGGGTTGCGTAATGTGCACGGAAAATTTGAAGGTGGGGATAAGTGGATTGATGCTGTTGACAGGTATTGTAATATGATATTATAATATTGGATAAAAAAATTGAGTGCTCTTTTATATTATCGTGTTGAAAAGATTTTTGATCCGACCTTTATGTTGATGTTTTGTTTAATTTGGAAATCACTTTCTATTATTCACCTAACCATCAATAGTCCAGATGGTGGAAAACATACAATGATGAAGGTTGAGAAACGTTTATTTTACGCAATCAAATTTCTTTCGTGTTATCGTTATTCAACAATCATCATTATCATCACCGAAAAAAGCAATTAGGTGAAATTCTAGGAAAACCCAACACAGTGGCTGCAGAAATTCTTGCTCACCTTGGAGAACCTGATCAATTGACCACAAATCTTGATCAGGCAAATCCTGTTGTAAATTTGATGCCAGGTCCATTAATTGGGAGTCAACCCGGCGTAACAGCAAGTGGCGCTCAGGAATATTATCTTGTGTACTTCTGGCGTGGGAAGGTTATGTATTAATGAATTATTTTTGTTTTGTTGTTGATTGTTGGATTCTCGTTTTTTTATGGTTGTGTTCATGTTCAATAAACATTGTAAATTTAATTTGTTCTATTTATTTTGATTTTTTCTTTTAGAATGATTATTTGTACTTTAAGGTGAGGATATTACTCGATAATTATTTATTTTCAATCCACCAATTAATTAACAACACGTATATTTATTTATATCCCAAAGATCGATGCTAACCAAGAAAAGGTTATTTCGCACGGGTGGAAATATGTCGCTACTGAATAACTAATTTAGTATGATAATATGTAGAAAAAGAACTAATTATCGATATTAAAAAATGAGATTCTATTGTATCCCCTTAATCAGACAATAATTTTTTTGTCCTATTATCACCATTGTGATACAAACAATACTAAACCAGTGTTGGGACAGGACAGCGCGTCCATGTCCGGCATTTTTTATGTCCGGGACGCGCGTCTATCAGTAATGCCGGCACATCACTTGTTAATTCCAGCCAAGGGGACTTAGTGCTGGCCAATGTTGAGATTAACTTGACCGTGTCCGCCAAATATCGCCGGACAACTTCCGTGTACGACAACACTGGCCTAAAACTATAACAATGATAATGGATTATCATTATGACAATACTCGATTGTTATTTTTCCTAGTTTATATTTAGATGTTCAATAGGTATCTATTTGATGTATTTGATGGCAGTCTGCACGAGAATGTAACATAAGTCAGGTAATGATTTCTTCTTTTATCTCTTTATGATGAAGTTTTTTATACCAAGTTTTCATTCTTTATATCGTCGCCGTCGTAGTAAAAGCCAACATCATCAACATGATTTCACTCACGATAATGTTGTTGATAAAGCAAGCAAAGGGAAAAACAAGAAATTACGATTTAATGTTACAAATATTATATGGCGCACACTCATCATCGTCATCATCAATAATAATAATAATCTAATTCTAATTACTATTCTTTTGTAAAAGCGAATTATATTTTTATCCACGTGATGATTATTGTTATATATATTGAGTAATAACAAAAAATCAGTGCGAGAACAAAGAATGGGATTTTCAATTATCGATTTTGTAGTCGTTCGTTCATACGTACGTTACATATTAGATATATTTTTGGGATATATACTATATGAATGAGAGGTATGTATCATCAAGGAGAGAGAGCATACATATAAATAAACATAGAGAATGAAGGATGATGACGATGATGAAACACATGTTGTATGAATGTATGCGTATTGTAAAGTAAACAATACTACTTTATCGATCTGTGTATGTATACAAACAAGAGAAAAAAGAGGCATATATAAACAAAGAAAAATTTTTGGCCAATGTGATTGTTGTCACGGTGATGGTGGTGGTGATGATGGTGTGGTGATGATGGTGGTGGTGGTGCTGATGGTAGTGGTGGTTTTTTGCTTTAAAAGAATTCATCATATATTTTCTTTAGCGGAGAAAAAAAGGTTAGAGAAAAAGATATTTTTTAGATTGTTGATGAATAGCAAATAAGGAATGAAGATGATTATTATGAAAAGATGATGATGTTATAATAATAATGATATTTGTGAGTGATACTTTTTTGTATATTATGATGATGATTTGAATTATAAAACCACAGCAATAGCAGCAACAAAATCATCATTATCATCATAAAATAACGAAACAATCATCCCAAGAATCATAACAATCAATCGATCCCTTATTGAATAATAATTAACACAACACACAAATTTCTTTTTAATTTCCCGCAAATAATAAAGAATAAGAAAAAGAATAAAAAAGCAATAATAAAGTAAAAGAGATTTTTTCTAATTACAAATTTGGCAACTAACCAAAAAACAAATTGATCTCGTGCCATTCAGTAATGGATCTTACATGATATAGAAAGAAAATTTAACAATAATTCAAGCAACAGCAGTTCACATTGGTCTCCTGGGTGTTTAATGATGATTGATGATTAAAGAAAATAAGAGAAAAAAAGAGAAAAGTAGAAGAAAAGAAATAATTTTTTAAAGAATAAAAAAAGATGTCATTGTTCATTAACGGATGTTGATGTTGTTGTGAAGAAAGTGTAGATGATAGTGGTAATGATGATGATGATGATGATGAAAGTGAAAAAGAGGAAATAATGAAAAGAGCAAAAAGAGCTATGTTAAAAATTTTTTCCGACATCTTTTTAAATTCAGTCAAACTAATATATTATATTTTTTGGATTTATTATTATTTGTAAGGGAGGCATGACTAGTTATGGAGGAGCTGCGTGGATTTTTTGATGGCGACGCAGATTGCTAACCACCGAGAAATGACGTCCACATCCTTCCACAGGACATTTGAATGCTATTGTTAATTGATTGATCGATGAAAGAACAAAGAAGGTAATCGAAGACGATGTGACGTTAACAACAAAATATTCGAAAATATTTATTTTAATATTAATATTAAAATAAAATTACTTACGTTTTTCGCCTGTGTGGCTGTACATATGAGTCTGCAAAGAACTTGGCCGAGTGAATCTCTTTTGACATATGGTGCACTTGTATCGTTTAGGGGTCGACGATACAGTCTTTGAGCTAAAGGTAGTCATCATGGCAGCAGGCGCTGGAGCCTGAGGTGGTCTCGTTGGAGTCTGAGGACTTTGTTGTTTCACCGGAGAGCCGTTTGGTGCCATCGGAGGAGTGACATTACCATTAGGAAAGCGAGGAGTCATCATTCCGTAATCAGGTGTTGCCTGGTGCATGCCAGGAGTGATGTTATTGGGGTGCATGTTTGCACGTTCATAGCTAACAGGAGTTGTTTGTTGTGGAGGAGCTGGTTGCTGTTGTGGAGTCTGTGGTTGACTATTATTATTACTATAAAACGGAATTGGACTTGAATTATTATTGTTATTATTCGTGTTGGTATTATTGTTATTACTATTACTATTATTGTTAGTGTTATTGTTTGGATTAGTTTGTTGTGTTGTTTGCTGTTGTTTTATAGTAGCAGGATCTTGAGTAGTGAATACTGGGTCAATTGCTCCCACAGTAGTTCTCGACATTGTCGCTGTTGTTGCTGTTGTTGTTGTTGCTGTAGTATCGTCAAAACCTTTGTGTTTTTGTGCATAAGTTAAGTGAAGAGTTGAACCATTGTTATCAGATATCATTACTTCATTTATATCTCCCCTCCATCCATCGGAAGTGTTATCGGTTACACTGGCGTCTATTGGTGGAGGCAATTGAACAATTTTGGGGTGATTAGAAAAGGGTGACAAATTCGGTAGGATCGGCATATTTGAATTTGTACGACGATCGAAATACAAAGAGGATGTTGTGGTCGTATAAGGAGCGGCCGTATATCGGGCCGAATTCATATCACCTAAATGTGTTGCTGTTAATTGTTGCGGTGATTGGTAAGGTAAAGTTTGAGAGCGAGCGCGATGTGCACTACCAATACCTTTAATCACGTGACGATTAGTTGTATCATGTTGTTCAATTTCAATCGGAGTTGAGAGTCTTCTGGCTTTAATGTTATAATTATTCGAAATATACGCAGATGAATTCGGGTTGTTATTATTATGGCTACTACTATTATTGTTATTATTGCCATCATCAATAGGGGAGGCATTTGTGTTTGCTATCGTGAAAACTTTTTGGTCTCGTGTGGCATCATTCATAATCATGTTCGCGTTGTTGTTGTTGTTATTGTTATTTTGATTACTATTGCTGGTGATTGTGGCTCCACTTTCACTGCTTCCATGTTCACTTCCATTCTCAGAAGAGAAGGAATTGTTTCCAATTCCACCATTATATTGATAAGATTCACCACCACTATTGATATCAGTGTTTGATTGATTTTGTTGCTGTTGCTGCTGAAAAACTTCCGTTTGTTGTTGAACTAGAAATTGAGAGCTTCTATTTCCATATGCAAATTGACTTTCCGCTGTAGTCACAAGTCCTAATGGTGGCGAAGAATTTGGCGAAGTAGCGGCTGAAGCTGCTGCTGCAACAGCTGCTGCTGCTGCAACCACTTGTTGATATTGTTGTTGTTGTTGTTGCTGATGTTGAAACTTTTGCTGCTGCTGCTGCTGAGCCTGTTGTTGTTGCTGCTGCTGCTGCTGCTGTTGTTGCGAGAGTTGAATAGCAGCAGTATTGAAGTTAAAGGTTGAATCAATCGATGGAAGATTAAAATGAGAAGGTGTTGTCATAATTGAAGGTGTTGATGTTGGTATCGTTTGATAATTAATATTATTGTTGTTATTATTACGATTATTATCGTTACTATTGTGGTAAAATTGATTAGAGGTATCGTTCATGCTATTATTATTCATTTGTTTTTGACGAACAGCCAACGGATGATGACTACGACCTGCAATATTTCTTCTAAAAAGCAAAAAAAAACAAATCAACCAATATTTATATATTTATTGTATGTGTGTGTGTGTGTGTGTGTGTGTGTTGTGTCTGAACGTATATATGTATAAGAGGATATGTATGTATGTATGTATGTATGTATCTATGTATGTATGTATATATATATTTTATATATATGCGTCGCTATTTATTCTACTAGATAAAAAATTAATTTCTTTTTTTGTTGGTGGTGTTGTGATACTCGAAAAAAATTCTCGTGCAATTTTTTAATTGATGATTAATGTAGAAAAATGATAAATTAAAAGCCAAGTTTTAAGTATATATGATGAGAAGGAAAGTTATGTTTCGTGATGACGACGATAGATGGTTGATTATGGATAAAATAGTTAAAATAACGCGCGTGTAAAGAACAAGAAAAACGAAAAACTGGGTTATTTAAATGTAATAATATTATGATGTGAATGATAGTGCAAAAAGATTTAATGTAATCGATTGATTGATATTGATGAAAAAACTGGTGCGGGGTCCATGTGTGGTTAGCATAATAAGCTCGACCGTTTTGATTGATAGTATAAAAAAAACCGCTCGGGAGGTTAATTCTGATTTCGAAAAGTGCCGGAAAATGTATTAGATGAAAATTTTAGTTCCCGGAATTTCCTATTATGCTTATTATTCTGCAACAGTTCAATGATCGATGTCGAAACTTATTCAATAATAGAAATTTTAATAATTTAATAATTTGAAACTGTGATTTTGAGAAGTGTTGTATGAATAGCTATTGATCGGTTGATTTATTGATTGATTGATTAATTGATTGTTGATTGATATTATTTTTTATATTATGTATGCGCATCTTATTCTAAAGCCAGAAAAAATCCGTTGATAATGTAATTTTTTTCAATGATAATGTACGTATGTATGTATGCATGTATGTATTGTGTATAGATATATTACTTTTTACACTTGTTCCCCCGCATGCACACACATTGAGCCAAAAGCAACAGTTGTACATATGACACTGTGCTGATAGAGGGAATATTCTTGATATTTAGTAAACATAGCATGCTTAAAAATATAACAAGAGTGTAAGCTTGTTATTGTGTACGTGTGTAATGCACTAAAGGGAAAATAGGTGTAACTTAATCTTGAGTGAATCTGACTGGTATTATCGTAGTTTTACTCGATATGTTTCAAATGAATTTGAACGCGGGCAAACAATCTGTATGTAGTAATTAGGTAATCTAGTATGTGGTACTACGACACACTATTTTTCGTAAGAGTAAATCTAAACCTTATCCGATAAATATTCGAATTTTAAAGCTCGAATAATAGATCTATTCTCTCATCCAACTATCAGCTGATAAGCTTTAATTAATTCTTATGAGTCACAATAGATATTAATAGAACATACATCCATCTAAAAAGAAGTTTATTATTAACAAACAACAATAAATAAATAAAATAAAATAGGGAGAGAACAATATCGCTCAATGTTTTAATATAATATTTATAATAATATATTATAATAACGGGTTTTTCAAAACTTGCTAAACTCAGGGAAGAAGAAAAGAGACAACAAACAAAAAATTATGGGTGGTGTAATGAAAGAACTTTAGGAAATTATCATCCAATTCTTGCATAAATATAAATATTAATGTAATGACGATAATAAAGTCCTCGAATAAACCGTTCAAAGATGAAAAGAATTAACATTTAATTTTAACACAATTTAATGGCGTATATGATATTAATAATATATATTACTTAAGAAAGCAACGAAGCACAAAAAAGGTCATTCCTCCGTACAGGCAGCAAAAAAACGTCAAGTTATTGTTATTCTTATGCATAGGAAAATAACAATAAAAATATATACCAAAAAATTGCTGGTGAAAAATAATTTTGGTGATAAAAATGTGGTTCTTTGTTTGATTTTCGGAAAGGTCTAATCAATGGATTAGTATAAAAAACTTTTTGGTTAAAATATATATTTTTTAGTTAGTGAAATTGTGCAGGTGACCTTTTTTTCACCGGAAAAATAATGTAAGGTTCAATGTAACAACGATGGAATAACATACACAGTATCAGTATTATATTATATGTGGTCGATAAACATTTCTTTTATTGGTAACTATTTGTGGAGGAGACAAACATCCAATCATTACCCAAACCTATTCGCAAGAAAGTTACTCTTGTCTCTCTTCTCTGTTTTAAACTCTACCATTATTCAACTTTGGATCATATATAATTTCTCTCTCCGTGCATATCAATTATCATATCGGGCATAATATCATTGTAGTTTATTATTACTAAATTAATAATATTATGTGTATCTCTTGTCAGCTTGTAATAAAATACAATGGTCTTATTATCTTCCTTTTTTAAGTAATTTGAAACTCGTCATTTAAAGAATCTACGACAAAATTTTAATACGAATTCACCTTTACATAATCATGAATTCCATATTATTATGTTCTTGGCAATGATCCAAAGTTGCACAATTCATTTTGCAAGTACAACAACATAATTTTTGTGCTTCATTGAATTTCCAGTTTTCGCGTTGTTTATTTGTTTTTTGCTTGATAAGTTCGTTGGTAGGTTAATAGGTCGATTATTCAGAGAACTTTCGATAGGCGGAAAACACTCGAATAGAGAGGCATTGTCATTTTTATTTGCATCGGAGAATTTCCGCGTAGAGGTGCAGGCGTTTCTTAGGTCAAGGGTTAGTTACTACCTTACGTCATATTAATATTTGGTTGCAACCTAGTTACGTCATGACTTAAGTTCTAATGTCTGCACCTCTATCTCGGAGGTGCAACTTACATTTATTTTAGCATACATGCATATATGCGTATACGTAGAAAAAACACAGGCACACGGCAACACAGACATCCAGACAAAACTCTAAAAGCAAACTAGATTGTCAAATGCCTAAATTTGAGAGGATTGATTGCGCGAATTCATACATATAATTGGACTGGAGAAACAAGTATTCGATCTTTTTCCTACCACCCTGATTTCTTCCTTGTATATCAGGGTTTTGAAAGGCATGAGCTATATATACTGATTTCTATTGAGCAAGCAAAACATGTACAAATGAAGAACCAAGCGAATATTTAAAAAATTATACGCTATCTAGTCAATAGGTCAAGATGTCATATTAGGATTTATGTTAATAACTTCGACATTATGTTAATGCGCCAGCTTCAAGTCACGACATATTAATTGCTATAACTTCTAGTGGCTCTCACAAGAAATAGAACACGCGATCCGTCCAAACAAAATAAACAAATATCCATTTTAAGCCCCGAAACCTCTAGTATTTTTTTAAAATAATTTGATTGTAAATTATTTTAAGCATTTTTATGAAACTGAGTGATTTGAAATCAAAATTTTTCAATTAGTAAATTTCTTGTATGAACAATCTTTTTTTCCAAGACAGATCCCACTAATGAAAAATGTTCTACTCTATGAAATCCCAGTTTTCATAAAAATCAGCTCGAGATTTATCTGCTAGTCGAATTAATGCTTCGGGATCTTAAATCTCGAGCTGATTTTTATGAAAATTGGGATTTCATAGAGAACATTTTTACTGTCTTGGAAAAAAAGGTTGTTCATACGAGAAATTTACTAATTGAAAATTTTGATTTCAAATCACTCAGTTTCATAAAAATAATCTATAATCAAATTATTTTACTAGAGGTTTCGAGACTTAAAATGGATACTCGTTTATTTTGTTTGGACGGATCGCGTGTTCTATTTCTTGTGAGAGCCATTATATACGTATAGCAATTCAATAAATATAACATAATTTAGTTAACTTTACAAGGAATTCTTTAACGAATCTTCAATAACTATAAGAAAGATCAATTTATCAAATGTTGAAATGTTTTAGATTGTTCAAACTTTTTAAACTAGTTCAAAATTAGGTTTGAAATATTTTTATATCTTTCAAAGAATACAAAGAATAATTTACAAATCAATAATAAACTATGATATAAACAAATTAAATAACAAACAAATAAAAATTATAGTGTTATAGTATATTTTATTGAACATTTAATTATTATATTCTTATTGATTATTTTATTTGTATTTTTATTGGATATTATTTATTTTATTAGGGAAGTGACATATTTTATATAATTATCAGAAAGGAAATGAATCTCAAAAATCTCATCTTTCACGTGATAAAAAATAATTAGCCAATTAAATATAATAAAAATCTCATTTGGAGAAAGGAAAAGAGGAATTATTTTTATAATAACTCGACATTATTAATATATCACTTCTATTATATATTACTTTATTTATTTATTATTATTAATTAATACAATATTAAAATAATAAAAAAATAAATTGATAAAAAGAAAAATTGATAAAAAAACAAATAATAAAAAGCTATTTCTGTAACAAATAATTTTATATAAAAATAATATTTCATCTTGTGAATAAAGAATAAACTCAAATTTTATCAAGTATAATTTAATAAGTTTAATATTAGACTTGAAATAATTTAGATATTGTTATTCTTGTATTATATTGTTAACAATATGTAATAAAGATTTCTTTACTTTCAGTATTAATAATTATATAATAATATAAAAAAAATAAAATAAAACTAGTGAAAGCAAAAATAAATATTTAATATCTGTACTAATTTTTATAGAAATTATTAAACAATCTTATATATAAAAAAATAAAGAATTTGAAAGAATAAAATAACTAAAAAAAACTAAATTATTTAATAAAATATTGACTACAAAACTATTATGTTCACATTCATCAATATTAAACAAAAATATCAATACTAATCAAACTAACAAAAAATATTAATAAAATTAATGTACTTATTTAGAATTGAGATACTTAATTACATTAAAAATAATGTAGATAATCTTTTATTTAAAGTTGCAATGCATAATTAAATCAAAATAATATCAAAAATAACAAAATCAAATATCAATATTCAATAACAAATTAATTATTCTATAAAATATATTTTTGATATAAATATCATAAATAATTTTAACAGAAACTGACTTGAATTAACAAGCTTTAATATTTGATTCCAACTTATTTTAACTAATTATTTTGAATTAAATTCAAAATAAAGAATAAATATAATATTTAATATAATAATTAATATTATAAATTAGATTATATTTATTAAGATTAGAGAAATATCTTTTATTTGCTCAGTGATGTTTAATTAATTTTCAGCTTTATTTTCTAAACTATATGAAAGAATATATATTAAAATAGTATTTATATTTATATAAAAATTTTATTTTTTAGTTATAAATATAGAATAAAAATATTTATCAAATCAAATTGATTTATATTAAAATACTATGAAATAATAAAGAGTATTATATTTGTATTAAGTAAAGATAAAAAAGAATAGAAAAAAGTATAAAAGAATCAAAAAGAGGTATTATATAATATATAAAAAGATTAAAAAAAGTATAAAGAGATAAAATAAAGAGTAAAAAGGAATTAAAAGAAGTCAAAAAGGATATAAAAAAATATAAAAAGATAAATATTAATATAAATAAATAAAATATAATAAGTAATTTAATAAAAATAAAAAATAATCATATTGTTGTGATATGAATTTTAGCATATCACATGACTTTTTATAATTAATTTTCATTGAATAATTGATTTTTAAATCATATTTATATTTATTTTATATTATCCGTATTTATTTTATATTATTTTTATACTATTTTATTTTATTTTCATACTATTTTATTCTATATTTATATTATTTTATTCTATTTTTATATTATCTCATTCTATATTATTTATAATTTGTACTAATTATATTATTATTATTAGTATGAAAAACACATATTAATCAATCTACATAATCAAATTTGATTAATATTAATAGTGAAATTTATGTAATATTAGAATGAGCAATGTATAATCATCAAGTAAGTGAATAATACGTAATCATCAAGTGAGCACTTTTTGTAATCTTAATATCAATCAAAAATAGCTTTAATATTTAAAGGTTGAGTAACAATAATTTGTATAAATATAACATGTATCTTAGCTTAGAAAAATTAATCTTCTTACACTTTTAAATTAATAATCTTTTTAGATTTAATCCTTTTATCTTTTAATTTTCTTTGACAAAATCTTCTTAGAAGTGAGTCATATTGTAAGTCTTGAGTTGGAAATTTTTAGTCAAGCATTAATTACTCTTTTCTTTCTTATTTGTATTCTTTATTATTTAAAAGATTTCTCATCTGTAACAAATGATGTCATTTATAATAACATAATTAATCTCTTGTCATTACCCTATGACGTTAATTAATATTATAATAAAAGAAAAAGATAATTTTATTAAAAGTTAATCAATAAAAGAAGATTACTTTATAATTAAATCATTTAAAATTAAAAGAAGATTTCTAAACTCATTCTAGCAATTCAACAAAACAAACACATCATTATCTATCTTTAATATTTTCACTCTTATCTTAATAAAATATGTGATTAATACATCAAGAACTTAACATCAATAAAAATGGTAACAATATTCATCACTCTTGGAAAAATAAAATTTGATGACTATAAAAGAAATATGACTATAAAGAGATTTTTTTTATTATATTTATATGTAAATAGAAAAGCAAAATAGAATAATTATAGAGAAATATAACTATAAATAGGTATAACTATAAAGAGATTTGACTATATATTATAATATAATTCAATTTAATTACAATTATAAAGTTATTATAACTTAAAATTAAATCAAATTATTAATATTTTTATTTGTATATTTATATTCAAATAATTAAGATATTTATTATTTTATTTTAAAATTATAATAATTAATTATTGAAGAGCAATTATTAAGTTTATATATAGTTAAACTTCTTTATAATTATATTCATTTATAATTATATCTCTTTATAGTTACACTATTTTGCTTTTTTATTTACAGTCAAACTTCTTTATAGTCACCACCCTCGGAAAAGCAAAATTTGGTGACTATAGAGAGGATGTGACTATAGAGAGATTTTTTTATTATGTTTATATGTAAATGGAAAAGCAAAATAGGGTGACTATAGAGGAGTATGACTATAAACAGGTGTGATTATAGAGAGATTTAACTATATATATAAATATAGTAAAAAATTATTGGAACAAATCAAACATGTTTTTGTCGCAGGAAGAATGAATCTGAAACCTGAAGAAAAATAACCAATAATATAATCAATAACTTTTATTGATATTAATGGATAACAAAAAATTCAGCAAATGATATTTGATGAAAATCATCTCAACTCCACTATATGAGAACAACCAAAAGAGATAAATAGAAAGAGATTTTTGAAGAGAAAGGTTAACTTTGAATTGTTGAATATACAAGAATAAAAAATTAGTAGAAGATCTCTTGTAAATCTCTTGTAGATAAACTATTGCACAAGAAAAATCATGATTTCTCAATCAAATTTTATTGCACAAAAATTTATTATTATAGAATTAATAAAAAGTGCTAGTCATTTATATGTTTTTTTTTCAAAATTTCATTGTAAACTTAACTTTATTAAAATATATTGGAGAATAACTAAATATTATACAAGAAATTATTATAATTATATATGAACTGGTTTGCAAGAAACAGTACTTGATTTAGTAAATATTATTTTAATTAGAAAGTTTGCTCAGAAATTATGAAAATATATGCAATTATATTATGAGAATTTGATAAGTAAGTTGACAGAATACATCTGCAAAAAATTCAAGTCTTATAGATAGATTCTACAAGATGAATTGAATTTATTGATAAATAAAAATGATCATAAATAATTAATTATATATTAATTTGATAAAAAGAAAATTCCTAAATATTTAAAATATAATTATTATATTTGTATTAAGAAATTAAGAAAAAACTAATTATTATTAATTATATTCATAAAATAAATATAAATTTTACTTATCAAAATTAAACAATAAAAATATAATAGTTTAATTTTAATTTTACCAAAACTGTTCTAACTAATGTTAAATTTAAATAATTAGCTTTTAGTACATACTGTTGAACAATTTGCTTTCTTTTTTCATACACACAGTAATATAGATTGGAAAGTATAAGCAAAGCTAGAGCTTGCCAAGAATATTATTAACAAAGAGCTTCATATTATGCTTAATCATATCATAATATATAATGTTCTAATAAAAGAACCATTTAAAAAATAATTACAAAATATCTTCATTAATCTATACGAATATTTGGTACTGATATTTTTATTTTTGTAATAAGTCTAATTGTGTCTTTTTGGTTTGTTCTGAATTTATCTTTGAATATTTTTTTCATATCAAAAGTTCCTTATATGTATTACTATGATATACTGCAAAAAAATTTGTTAAACTAAACTAATTAGTAATTAGAACAAATAATAATTACAAGAAATGATGTTACTTATATAAAAAGAGTATTATCAACTTGAATGTCAAATAAATTATAGATTTTAAAAAATCTTAACCAATTATAAATTTCTCCTTGACAAAAAAAAGTCCTAAAATATGATAAAACAAATTTTCTCTTAAGCAAATTTAAAAAACAGATAAATATTAATGAATAAGGATATTATTCTCTGATAAGAGAGACTATAAAATATAATTGCAAAAGAAAGTCTTGCCAGAAAATGTTAAGCAAATTCATCTGTTTCAAATTCAATAAGAAAAAAAGTTAACTAAAGTTAACATGATGTTATGATTAAAAATTTTTATAATTCTTATAATTTCCATAATTTCCATAATTTCTATAATTTTCATAATTCCTGTAATCTCTATAATTTCCATAAATTTCAAAAACTATAAAAAATTCTATAATTTCTATATTTTTCATTATTTTTATATATATATTAATTAATCAAATTTTATAAATTATCATTTTTATAGTTTTTATATAATTAGTTATAAATATAACATTTACTAGTGGAAAATATTTATTATAAATAAAGTATAATTGAAGCTTTGAAAAAGATATTAATTAATCAATACAAAATCTAACTAATCAATAATTTCTTGTTTATTGTTTAATGAAAATTATATATTAATTGATTTTATAATTATTAATCTTGTTATAATATTTATTTTATATACTACTGAATACTCAATCAGGTTGCTATAGAATATCAGTATTGTATTGCTATAGAACTGTCATCACATTAAGTAAATACAAAGAAAAATATTTATTAGTAGTAGTGTTACCTATTCTAAATTAATCAAATAGAAGAAGTCGCACAGCATCACGATCCTAAAGCAACTAGATTAAAATTATTAACTTATTGAGATAGATGTTGGTTAAACATTCACGTTACGAGATTATCTACTTGAGTCCAGAACTTGTGATAACGGATTATTTCAAGCTTTTCAAAATTTGAATAATATCACCTGGCTGTAAGACAAAATAATTTCTTTACTGTGAAAAATTTCACTTTCGCAATGAGCTTCAACAACTTAGATTCAAATTGATTGTTAAACTATAATTTGTCATTTTTAGAAGTTACATGATTTTAATTTTTAAGTATCAAGCATTGTAGTAAGAGTTTCCAGGTGTCCAGTTTCTTTATATTGATTTCATTGCAACCAGATTTAGTAAGTTCTTTAATGAATATTTGATGAAATAAAAATCTTTGGGTAAAAATATTCTTAAAAAATCAATTTTAACAATGTCAACAACAATTAATAAAATCTTTAATTGATCAGTTTATTTTTGCTATCAACAAAAATATTGTAAAATTGCTTGATTAGTACTTTTAATGTGGATTTATTCAAAGAATGTTAAAGCACATTATTGCTGGTGAGCCAACGTTATATAATATTTTTATTGGTTATTCAATTTTGATCACATGATTGCAATCTGGATCGGATTAAAAATCACGTATAACTACACGACTTTAATGGATCTCCTATAAAGAAAAGAAATAGTTAAAGTCTGATAAACATGTGATATATATTTATCATAATGTTAAAGATTGATTTATTAATATTAGAATTAGGATTAAGATTAAAGTAAAAAACTAAAATATATGTAAAATTGTCTTTTCAACCTTTTTAATTAGTGCTCCAAGATAGATTAAAGCATATATTTTCCATATTTTTACATTCGTGCTTCGGATTTGTTTTTTAAGTTGATCAAAAATTTACGCATTCTTATTGGCTTGTTTCTCGAACAGATCACCGGATCCACCAATCATTCGCGATCACATGATAACAAACCAATAAGAATGCGCAAATCATATGTGTGTCGGCAACTATTAAAGGTTGATTTTATCGTTTGGATTAGGGTAAGGATTAGGGTAAGGTTAGGGTGGAGGACAAAGTTATATGTAAAATTGCCTCCCGACATTTTTATTAGAGCTCAAAGTTAGATTTGGACATCTATTTCCCGATTTTTCACATTTTACATTTTTTTGTGTCGGAATTGTTTTGCCGGGCTGATCAAAAATTTGCGATGTGATTATAAATAAGTGTGACTAAAGGTTTGAACTGATATTCAAATATCTTATCAATAGCTTTTTGAAATAATTTTGGAAAGTTGATTCTTTTTACACCCAAATTTCTGGGGGATCCCATGATAAGAAATTGTCATAGGTTTATTAACAATGACTTCATATATCGATACTGTCAAGATCTTCACGTGAAATTGATCCTTCGATCAATTTATCAAGAATTCTTTATACTTTGACCATATATCATGCTTGCTCTAAGGAATTCTACACGGACGCTATTACCTAAATTCTCAAGAGAAAGGGTTAATCGCCTTGCACTCGGTCCTGTACTAGTTTCAACCTCCACGAGACGCTTTTTGCCCTCTATAAAGAATGATGTGTCAACTTGCTGGTATTTCGCCTTAACTCACTTCGAGACACCCCCTTTTTCTCATTCATTCCCGCATATAAAATATATTTATACATATACTTTTAGTTCTCCAAGGACACGTTTTGTATGGACTTTTGGTGGCGGAGGCGGTGCTCGAAATACTTCTATAAAAAAATATGCTGGTCGTCGCTATTACGCATGTACGCTATTTTTTGGTTTCCAAATAGATGAATTTTTTCGTGGATTTGAGTAAATTAGAGAACGAAGCAAACTGTTTGTAGTATTAATATTATATGTTTAACAATTTTTATTCGAATGATATTTGATGATCATCCAAATCTAATGTTGAAAATGAATGAAAGAGTGAATGATCGCGTAAATAGGAAATAATGATAAATTTCTATTTCCGTAGCTTCTTACCCGCCACATATTGACATATTAATGCCGGCGTTATCACCTACAATGACAATGGGAAACGTAGGAACATGGCAAAAGAACATCGGTGATCCAGTGTCGCCGGGTGATGTGTTGGTCGATATCGAAACTGACAAAGCACAGATGGATTTCGAGTGCCAGGAAGAGGGATATCTTGCTAAAATACTTGTAGAGACTGGAACAAAGGATGTTAAAGTTGGTCAGGTAAAATTAAGTCTAAAAATTTGGAGGGGGGGAGGTCTTTAAGCGGTTATTTTTTTGTTCTGATAACATTTGTATTATATGGTAAATTATTTTAGCCGATTGCAGTTTTAGTAGAAGGACAAGAAGATGTCGAGAAATTTACAGATTATACAATTGCTGATACTGGGATTGCTGATACTGGCTCAGCTCAACCTACACCAAAGGAAGAAAAGCCTAAAGAACAATCACCTGAACCTCAAAAAAATTCAGACTCGACAACTACACAGCCATCTACCCCTTCCCCTCAAAAAAAATCATCTGATAGAATATTTGCCAGTCCCTTAGCGCGTAAATTGGCGGAAGAGCGTGGAATTCCACTTGATCAAATCACTGGAACTGGACCAAACGACCGTATAATTAAAGCGGATGTTGATAGCTTTGTTGCCCCTGCACCTTCTTCACCTGAAGCCGAATACACTGACATTCCTTTATCTAATATACGTAGAGTTATTGCAGCTCGCCTAACTGAATCGAAACAGACAGTTCCTCATTATTATCTAACAATTGAAGCCGAAATGGATAAAGTGTTGAAACTTCGAGAAGTGTTAAACAAAGATAGTGATGGCAGTTATAAATTATCTGTCAATGATTTCATAATAAAGGCATCTGCATTGGCTCTTAAAAACGTACCAGAAGTGAATAGCGCATGGCATGGTGAATTTGTAAGACAGTAAGTAATATATTTCAACTCGTTAAAATAAACATTACTGTAAAAGAAATACTAATCACAAATTATTAAATTATAAATAAAGGTATCATAATTCAGATATTTCTATCGCGACAGCTACTCCTACTGGTTTAATAACTCCAATTATAACAAAAGCGGAATCAAAAGGATTAGCCGTTATATCGAATCAAGTTAAAGAATTAGCCAGTAGAGCACGTGAAGGAAAATTAGCACCACACGAATTTCAGGTATATCATAATCTTCAATTTAATTGAATAATCAAAATTTATTATTAACACTTAAATTCTTATAAAGGGAGGATCATTTTCAATCTCTAACTTGGGCATGTACAGCATAAAATCATTCACTGCCATTATCAATCCTCCTCAGTCATGTATTCTTGCTGTTGGAACCACAACAAAGAAATTAGTTCCGGATGAGAGCCAAACCACGGGCTACAGGGTGACAAATACAATTCACGTAACACTTTCATGTGATCATCGAGTAGTTGATGGTGCTGTTGGTGCACAATGGCTGAAAGCATGGAGGAGCTATATCGAAAATCCATTACGTTTTCTTCTATAGAGAATTCAACTATTTATTGAGCAAATTTTTGAGTTCTTGCCGGATCAGGATTAATTTATATAATGTATATTATATATGCTATTAGATTAGACGTTTGTTAAATTTTCACATTTATTTTTATTTTGTGCATGCTGGATTATGAATAAAACATATTCTCACTTGGAGTTGCTAGATGGTGATGATTATGAATTATTTATCTCATCTAAGAATTATGAGTCTGCGTGTCATTATCAACGCCACCACCACGTCCATTAATAAGCCCAATTCTTTCACTCGTAAGTGATAATCTTGGTTGTAGTCTGAATCTCTCTTTCGTTGTCGTAATTAAAGTCCTTTCTATCTCTTGATTTTCTTCAGAACGTAATTCTGACAAGATTTTGTGAAAATCTAATCAAGGAACTATCGATTCTTTTCATGCTATCATTTCTGTCATATATTTTATTGTTTTTCAATGCAATTTATTATTTTCTGAAATTTATAAATCGAATTCTAAGTGATGTTCAGCATAAGAGTCGCTAAATTTTTTATATAACTTCTCAATCTCAAGTATTTTATGTAGCTAAAATAGCGAGTATATAGCCGCATATTTAAAATATAGCATGTGATTTTATACATATACGTATATATTTTGATATAATTTAATAAAAGACAAAGCTGTTTAAGTAATATCGAATACTAAATGTATCAAGTGTACTTTGTTATTTGAATTCATTTCTTTAGCTTTGATTGCTCGGAGTAGTCGAGACTTCATTAGACTGTACTTTTGATAGTTCGAGTGAACAATAATGATTTGCGGCCGGCAAGAGCTCTCGTTGAAGTAACTGTTTTGACCATCGATAATGACTCTCGGATATTTGGCAATGCCTAAAAACGAGAAATTTTTTATGTACCTATTAGAAATCCAATCAAGGAATTATTGAAATTAAATCTATAGTTAATACTCACTTTCTGTGACTCTTCTTGAATAGGGCGCATTACTCGAATTGCAGCTCCAAGTATCGATACTCGTTGTGATTCACGATGTTTCTAATTACGACAAATTATGAATGGCTTAGTAGGCGAATACTCATCATAAACACGTCAAATATAATACCTCGACGCGATGACCATAAGATGGCGCTACTTGTGAAAGCCTTAAAGAACCTTTAACTCCAATAGAAGATCTTGTTGATCGAAATCCGCTACTACTCAAGAGAGAAGATGATGATAACTGTCTCTTTTTATCAACTTCGTTGGAAGTTTCACTGGCAATTATTTCCTTCAATGCTGATGCATCTGGCTTAAATTTTATTTGGCGGCTGGCAAGAGCTCTTGTTGAAGTAACTGGTTTAATCATTGATAATGATTCTCGGATATTTGGCAATGCCTAGAAACAAGACATTTTTTATGTACCTACTGGAAATCCAATCAAGGAACTATTGAAATTAAAGCTATTGTTAATACTCACTTTCTTCTGTGATTCTTCTTGAATAGGGCGCATTACTCGAATTGCAGCTCCAAGTATTGAAGCTCGTTGTGATTCACGGTGTTCCTAGTTATATGACAAATTTATGGATAACTTAGTAGGCGAATACTCATCATAAACACGTCAAATATAATACCTCGACGCGATGACCATAAGATGACGCTACTTTTGAAAGTCTTGAAGAACCCCTAACTCCAATAGAAGATCTTGTTGATCGAAATCCGTTACTACTCAAGAGAAAAGATGATAGCTGCCTCTTTTTATCAACATCGCTGGAAGTTTCACTGGCAATTATTTCTTTCAATGCTGATGCATCTGGCTTAAAATTTATTTGAGATTTATTAGAGAATTTAGCTGGAGATCTACGGACACTTGATAGACCACGAATTTTGGGAGCAATAGAAATTGACGATTTTCGTGATGTCGTCGCGGAGGAAGAAATCGTCGAAAGCCTCCTTGAGATAGTTGTGTTAGTGGTAGGTTTTATTGATGTCTTCGCTGCCGTTGTCGTGGGATTGCGCATTGGACGTTTCAAATTAGGCGTATTAGAAATATTCCTTAAAGTTTGTAGTTTTCGCAAACTTCCAGGCGGTAGCTGTAGATTAGAAAAGAGGTTTATAGCTGTTGACTTTGGTTTTATAAAACTTGAAACTGAAGGGGTGACTGATTTTTTAGCTGGCATTAAAGATGATTTAGTCCCAGCAGCAGCGGGTTTTTTGGGTTCAGCATTTGCCGCAAAAGTCACTTTTTTAGGTTTGACATTTCCAGATGCAGATGTATTTTGAGATTTGCTTTTTGAGAGAGCGGATGACAATATAGTGACAGCAGGCTTCTTTTGGATAAAAAAGATAAAATCATTTAATACAAACTTTGAATATATCTTATAAAAATAAAGACAACCTTACCTTCGACAAAGAAATTGTGTTAGTTTTCTTTGGAGTGCTAGTTTTCTTTGGAGCAGACACGGACGAAATACGGCTATCACCAATTAATTACGAAAAAATGAGTTTTACATTATATACGGATAAATTTGATATAGATAATATCTTAAAAAACAAACCTTGAAGGATTTCTTGAAGTATTACCAGTACGATATGAGATTGCACTATTGATTACAGGTGGCTTTAACTCAGAATTAAAGACTTGTTTCTTCTTTGCATTCGAAATGTTTGTAGATACTGGGATGGCGGTTTTAGTATTTCCTCGACCTGAAAGTAGACCACCACTACCTGGTGTCTTTGGTAAGTTTTCCTTGTTTGCGGATGTGAGGTGCGAGGCGTAGGTTGCTCTATAAAGAGAAAGAAACAATGCATGTATAAATGTCTGGTAATAATTATATAGTATTTAGGGTAACAGTCTTAACAGTAAATACCTTTGCGTTTTAGTTTGACTGTTGAGGTTCATTTTCGAGTAAACCGCAATAGAATGAATGGAAAAACTATGAACTATGAATGGATATTATTGTTTATTCAAAAATTAGAAACGCGTACTATGAATTAACACAACAAAAGTGTCGATCATGTGATTCCGACCGACGCATCAAATCCGAGCCGAAATAAGTATCTTATATCAAGAAAACGACCATCATCTGGCGGATAATTATCACCATCCGGAGTTAGAACTGGAAAACAGATTATATGTAAAATTGCCTTCTCAAACATTTTTCATATTAGTAGTCATGGTGATTACGATCCATCTGATCAGGAAAGAAATAAAATCATATTTAATTTTGGTCAGCATTTTCTTTAATTCACGAAATATTATGAAAATTCAAAAATAGTCAAAAAACAAAAACTATCTAAAAATAGTATAAAAATAAATGTAATATAGTGCAGGATATCTAGTTCCACAACTGCTATATCACATGACCAAGTTTGAGTATCTGGTCATCATCCAATTTATTATAAAAATGTATTCTTCACGAATTTTTAAATAAACTTAATTCTGGTCACATTATCACAAATCTCTTTAATTTTAGTTGATTAACTTAATTCTGGCCTATATTATCACAGAAATAATATTAGTTATTTTATTTCTTAGCTCTTTTTTCTTATCCAAATATTATCAAAGTGATATTATGCAATATAGAAATCCAATTTGAATTATCAATAAATTCTTAATATTCAAATTTAATATTAATCTTAATGCTAGTCAAAATTTAATAAATTATCCTTAATATTGATTAAAATTAAGTGATTAAATTAAATATAACTATAATAAAGTCAATAAAATTTAAATTCTTATTATTTTTTAATAAATAAATAATTTAAAAAAATCTTTCATTAAATTGTAGTTTAAGTCTAATTAATTCAAATAATAACTTTAAATTTTTAATTAATAATTTTCTTTTTGCTAAATAAAAAACTATAATATTATACTAAAAGTTATAAAACTAAGTATTTCATATTATAACAAAAATAACTTAATAAATATTATTTATATTATTTTATTTAATTAGTTTATTCTTTTTATCTTTTAATTATTTAGTTTATTCATTAAATATGTAAGTATATATTATTAATATTTTTATGAATTGAATTAAACTAAAATTTTTGAGTCTGATTTAAACTTTGACTTGAATTCAAGAAAAATTCAAAGTTTGAATTGAACTCAAACCAAACTCAAACTGAATTATTATACAAGTTCAATTTATATCAATTTATAGCTCTAAATATAAACTATAATTTTATTTATAAATATAATTTATAGTATTTAGTAAGAATTAAAAGTTTATATAGTGATAACTAAAATATTTTTATTTTTATATTTATTATAAATATTATTGTTACCATTTTTACAAAAAAAATTCATAATTACTTAATTATTGATCAATAAAAATTAAGATGTATTACAAAGAACATTAAATATTATATTATATAACTTAATGATAGTCAAATTAATTTGCCTCTTTATTTTTACATTGTATCTTATATATGATTATATTTAGTATATATCATTATCTTTTTGATATCTAGATCGTAATACCCAAATATTAATCATATTTTTGTATACTTTTGTTTTATTTCTTTTACTATTGTACTAAAATCATTTATTCTTGTATTTTCACTATAAAACTTATATTTTTATTATTATCACGTTTATTTTTATCTTTTTATTTCATTATTTTTAACCAATCATTCATATATTTATTTTATTTTTTTCACTCTTGTTACAATTATTCTTTTTATCTTATAATTTCTTTGTTATAATTATCTATAATCATATTCATACTATTATTTTTTTTCTATATAACACTTCTTTTTACTTAAATTCTTGCTTTTTCTTATCTTTAACCATTAGAATTACAATTAATTTTCTTTTGTATTTTCTTGTTAATGAATTTGTATAATTTCTCATTTATTTTTTAATGTTTATACTCCTTTTGCATCAGAAAATTTTTATATCCAATTATAATCAATTATTATCAATTGTTAATAATCGATTATAATTGATTACAATCAGATATAATCAATGATTATTAAAATCAAATATAATCAATTTTTTATTTAGAATTGGTGAACATCTATAATCAATGATTATTGATTTTAATTAATCGATTATAATTAATTGTAAACAATTACAATCAATTATAATTGCTGTAAATTAATAGATAATGAGTAATCGATTACAATCAATAATCAATTCTCATCAATAATTAATAATCAATAATAAATGATTATTTATTATAATCAATTACCTATTATTTATCAATCTGCAGCAATTACAATCAATTGTAAATAATTACTCTGCCAATTAATTCATTTTTCACAAGTATATGTACAATATTAAAAAGCTTTCAAAATTTAATTCTTGATATCAATTCAATAGATATTTCAAGCAATATTTTATATTATAAATATTTTATTA